TATATATATATATATATCTTTTTAGGTGTCGTTTTCGCCCCGGCTTCTCTTCCCCGGGAATTTGTTTTCATTGCCGACAGACCTTTCTACTATGGTATCAAATACAATACTGTTTCGCTCTTCGATGGACATGTTGTGAATCCGATGGTCAACTAAAGAAAGGACCTAAACTAGCAGATTTTGATAGTTAAGCCTGCGCAGACAGTTTCTAAACAGAGTCTGTTATAAATTTTTGATGCCAGAAATGCTACAAATTTACAGAAATGCTACAAATTTTATTAGAATCTATCTAACAATGTTGTCAAACTGCCACCGGGAATCTAACAAATTTTACTGACATGCTATGTCAAAAAATGAGTATAGAAAACTGACTTTATAGAAGTTCAACGACAGATGTCGACAAAAATTCTGTTGCGCGCAATTTAGCGGCAGCACCTGCTCGATTTCTGCTGCCAACTTTTCGTCGAACCATGTTAACAAATCCTGTCGCTACAAAGAACAAAAAATGGTGGTCAAATTTAATGCGAATATAAGTAGCTATTAGTTTTATTATGAGTTTCTGATCGAATTTTCTATCAATCTGCTAGTATACTACTAACATTCTGTTTACTGAAAAATGAATTTTCCATAAAACGAGGAATTGATATTTATTTCTATTGTCATTTCTGGTCGATGTCGTTTGTTAATTCTATGCATATAATATTGAGTTTGTGAGATTCAAACAAATATTTGATCGCTGCTCAACTTTTGTAAAGAATCCGGGAAGTGACATCCACTAAAAAAAGTTTTAGAGTTTTTTAGAATATATAGAGGCGTAGTTTAACTATTAATTGTTTTGAAATAGCAGAGTAATACGCCTTAAATTGTTATGTCTCTCAAATTATATGTTACTTACAAGGAACGCGAAAATTCAAAAAATCTGAAACTTTGCTTAATTATAGACTAATAGGCCCTAATAACAAAACAATTTTTTTTTGGTGCTAAAAACGGTTTTAGGGATGAAAACAATCCCCTATAAAACATCGGTTTTTACATTTCGAAGCGAATACTCGAAACGAAAAGAAATATGAAAAAAATGTTTCAAAGAAATATGAAAAAAATGTTTCAACAAAAGTTTTATGGCAGCGAATGTACTTTACAATGGCGTATCTGGATTTTTTTTAAATTATAATATTTTTCAAAACACCCTCACTATTTATTGTTTTTTTAAATATTATTAAAAAATTTCCAACGTTCACAGATATATGTTTGAATTCTTGCAATGTCTATACTGTTTGGATTATAATAAAGAGAACATCTATATAATTTTCGACTAATGTGTTTTGACTGAACCTGAACCTTTTGAATATTTGCCTGATTTTTCACAAATTGCAAGTTGATAAACCTATCACCATTTGTCATTTCGGCCAAGTACGACATTGCTTGTAAGAATTAATAGAAATCTGTAAATAAGATTTTTAGATCTTTCCCCATCACCTCTAGAAAATCGACAATGTCGTTGAATGAGATACTTTAAAACATAAGCTTTTCACGAAATCAATCTTTTTTCTCAGCTTCAGCCAAAATGTTTACATTTATATTTTAGGAACACAAAAATGTTAATTTCTTTTAACTATGAATTTTGTTATTATTCTCAAAAAATATATGTTGTAACTTAAGGTGTAAGTATACCACAGAAAAATATGACGGCGGTACATAAAATAATTCATTAAAAAAAATTGTTAGGAAATAACAATAATTTCTTTATTCTCTTTTCGTTAACGGAATTGATTCTCAATTTTTTTCAAAACTGTTTTAATGCTCTATATAACATATATTTTAGCCATCAAAATCGGTTAAGCCAATTTGGGAAAAATTTAATTTTTTGATTTTTCAAAATTTGTTTATAAAAAATTTTGGTAAAACTGAAGGATACTCTTCTTCCTAACCAATTTCGAAACTTAGTAATATTATGTAATTAACTGTGTAGAAAAGGAATATGAAAGTATGAATATGAAATGTTGCTTGTCAATTGTAATAAAGTTATGATGCAATAAAAGATGACAGATTTCGAGGTTATACAATCTGTCATATCGACAGTGTTGAAGTATATAAACATGCGCAGTGACACATAACTGCGCCAAATTAGAAATATTTAGTAAAAATATAAAAAAATATTAATTAATCTTTGTAATAAAAAATGATAATTATAGGGAAGATAAGGGACAGTTAGGACATTTTGACATTTTATTTTTTATAGCCTGTTTTTCAAAATTTTACGATAACAACAATTGAAATTTATTCCTTAGAGTATTCTGAAGTAATTCATATATATAAGGTGTAGTAAAAAGAAATCCATTATTTTTCCAATAGATGGCTTTAGTAATGTGTATCTTGCGTTGTATAAGTGCGATCGGTTTACGCTAGATGGCATTAGAAAGATAAGATTTTGTACTAAAAAAACTTTTCAGACAGTTTTGTGATTGTTTGACTCAGTATTGTTTGAATGAGCGCGCGTCAAAGATGGACACCAGCAAAGAGAAAATACGCCATATTTTACAGTTTTTCTTCGATAAAGACGAAAACGCAAGCCAGGCGGCTGAAAATGTGAATAGTGTTTATGGTCCTGATACTGTAACAGCCAATCACGCGCAATTTTGGTTTCGTCGATTCCGTTCCGGTAATTTTGATGTCAAAGATGCACCACGCTCTGGAAGGCCAATTGTCGAAAATGTCGATAAAATAATGGAAATCGTCGAGTCCGACCGTCATGTAAGCACTGTT